AGTAAATAGTTAATCATCTTAATTATTCTTTATATTTTTCTACTTACATTTCTATAGACAGTGGCAAAAGACAAAAAACAACTTAATTTACAACTACTAAATGAAAATTATCCACAATTTCAAAAGTAATTAAAATTTAGTCATTTTTTATGTAAAAATAAAATATGAATAAAAATATCCTTAAAATTCAAAAAAAAAATTCCAGCATAATATGTTGGAGTTCGAATTGTTGACATATGAGATTCTAACATAATTAATATGCTGGAATTTCATAATGTATTGAAGTTCCAACACAATATACTAGAAGTTTACACAAATGAGTTCCATAATCCAACATATTATGCTGGAATCTTCCGTATTTCAACTAGGATATTTTTGTTCAAATTTTATCTCCGTATTAAATAGTGATTATTTTTCAACATTTTTACCAATAATAACTATTTTTTAATTACGAACCCGAAAATTGGGTAGCCCAAGCTAATTTGGCACCCACAACGGTAGTGACCCTAAACCCATCGGTAACAAAAACAATTCTCTATGTAAAACCCCACATCAATTTCTGCCAACTTTATCTTTTGTCTATTAGTTTAAAATAAATCAAGGAAAATTTACAGCTTGTGTATCAATTAATGGGTAACTCTTGACAGCAGGCGGTCCAATATTATATTTCCACAAGTTTACGTTTTTGCCTAAACAATGTTGACCTAAAAGAAAGACAAGTTCGAGAACCTATCACTTCCAGAAATGAATGCAAATGCAGCCTTTTCCATTGACTATTGGTTTGAACGGTTGCAATTACTAGGAGACCTAGCTAGCTAGTATGATTTTGGTGAAACTAGTATGTCAATCACTCTTGTGAAAGAATAATGGATTAAAGGTTTTAATTAACCAGGTTCGTTTGGTAGGATGCATTAGATAAAATAATGTTTGCATTAGCTTTGTGTAATAATAATACCTTGTTTGGTAGATATTTTGGACCTATGCATTAGTTATGCAAGCATTAGTTATACATCTTATTTGGTATTATCCTATGCATAACTAATGCATAGAAAACCATGGTATTAGCAATGCAATGGGTTTTAATACATGTATTAGCTTAGTTAAAGACAAAATTGTCCTTCAAAATTATGCTTGATTAAATATGCTAGTTATTATATTAATGCAAATTTAAGATAATTCAAACAGTGAGAAATAAAATTATATATCTAGTAAATAAATAAATATTAGCATATTTCCTTTTCTATAAATAAATATTTAGTTTTATTTTACAATATAGGTAGACAAATAAAATAGTTTTTTTAAAACTTTTTCATATAAAAATATTTCTCAACATATGTTTCTTTTAAAAAGTTTGAGTGATGGACTAGTTTTGAGGGTATTTTTGTAAACAAACAATTATTTTAGAAATTGTGCAATGCTTTAATACATCAAACCAACAATTGATAAGAAATATGTCAGCATAACTAATACACCATATTCAGCATTATTGTTATGCACCATACCAAACAACCCCTTAGAGTGTCGCTTCTAAGAAATTATATATGTTAGGAACTCCCATCAAGTTGAAATCTTTTGCATCGGATCTATTGAAGATATAATTAAGGCTTTAAAAATTTGCCTTTTCTAACAGCATAAGTTTAAGATGAAATGTCACAGATTTTAATATAATATTAGAAAAGGCATATGCCCTACAATCAGGGGCAAAGCTACACGTTTGTAAGTGTTGTTAATTTGTCGGAAAATTATACAGCGTATATAGATAAAATATCAAGTTTTAGAGATACATAAAATATATTGAACACCTTTAATTTGTCAGATTTTTTTTTTCTTCTTTTAAGTTTGAACACTCTTGAGGAAATTTATCTTCGCCACTGCCTACAATTGAGTTTCACCAGCACTCATTATTAAAAAAAATTCACGTGTTTAACTCATAATAAAAATTAAGCCTGCACGCAAAGAGTTGTGTCGAAGATATAATTAAGTAATTAAAAGTGTATTTTGTCTAACAGCTGATACATTTCAACATAATCGTCTACGATTCTGAAAAACAATTTAAATCAGTTAATGGGAAGTTAGAGTTTCAATTTTAACCTATAGTTTTCTATAATTCCCCACCAGAATCAATTAAGTTATCTCCAAAAGCAAACTCATATATTCTTTACCATAGGTACTGTCAGTTCCTTTGTTCTTTTTTTTCTTTTGGATGGGGGGCCGCTGATAGGAAGGCGAGGAGAATATTGGGACAAGTAAAGAATTTTGAATGAAGTACCTATAGTTGCAAGATAGTGATAAAGGAAAAGTTATTCACATAATGAGCATAAAAAGGGAATATGGTAACATCCTTTTCTTCTTTTCATCTTGTCCTTTTCTTTTTGTTATTTTCCATTTCTTAAGTCATTCATTTTTCAGCTCCTTTACGAGTAAATTCCTCTTATCTTTTCCTTCCCTTTTCCTACTTTTTCCTTTGTTGTGATAGTGTAAAGCATGTGACATTGGTTAGGAATAAAAGGAAAAATCTATTTCACATTGTGTTTACACTCACTCAATATCTACATGACATGTGTCTTCCATAAACTATCTCTTAATCATAAATAATTATTACCAATTGTTACCTCAAATTTACTATTTCCTCTATCCCAATTTATATGGTGGAGTTCAGATTTCGAGCAACTACTGTAATTTTTTCATATCTTTTAAATATTTTAAATTATTAATTATTGTGAATTATAGTACTTTTTACGGTGAAACAAGTTTGAATCTCGGACACATAAATTGGGACAGAGTACTAATTAATCATGGAAATTAATATACTATGGTGCAAATAGTGAATATGATGAGTATTCTTGTCAAAATATATGGGGAGCCGTCCCAAATATTTATATATTTCTTTAAGTGCGTCATACAATTATCAGGGTAAAAGAGCACTTCCTAGAAACTAGTTACAAAAAGAGAGGGAAAAAGCCTCTTCTATCATTCTCTCTCTAATGACTAGTCTAATAATACACAAAATCAATGAGATTTCATATTCTTCACTAAGTCTAGAAAGGGAATAAAATAACATATTGTTTGATTCAGAGGTCACACCCTTCTCCTTTTCCTTCTTCCTGTCTTTCTTTAGCTCTCTTTTCCTTTGCTTTTCTCTGGTTTTTGTGGATTACCTGATTCTCTTTACTTTTCTTTTCTTTAAACCAGCTAGCTAAGCTCCCTTGTCAGAGATTATAGTAATGATTTCAAAATGAGTAGCAGAGATTTTCTTTTCTTTTTACTGTGAAGGTCTTCCCAAAGTAAACTCCAGATTAGGCTTCTTTTTTGGACTTGTCTCTGTTATGCTTGATGAGCTCACCTCTCCTGATATTCCATCATAGCTTAAGCATTTTCCTTCCATCTCTTTATGCTGTAATTTCTTTTTTTGGTCGAAAGAATGAATTAATTAGTAAGGAAGAACAACAAGTATACACACAATATTGTAAATCTATCTGAATAAAGGATGAACAAATTATATTGACTAGGGGGAATATATATAAGAACTAATATAATTATAGCCCTGCATTCTTGATTATAGCCCATTCTTACTTAATTAGCTAGTCTAAGCCATTATAGGGAAATTAATAAAAAGACATCTTTTTAGGAAGGATTTCTTGACTTTAGTTTCCTATGTCTTTGAAAATGAGCTGCCTTATCTTTTGTAAAAAGCTTGAAATCCTTTCTATCTCATTCAACTTTAACCACTTTATGTTATAATCCATGATGAAAACTTAAGCCTATCGCCATTGCAATATGGATTTAACTTATATACATTCACTATACTGTTAATATTTTCTAAATAAATGGTTCCACTTATTATAGACAGTTATAAGATAGCGTAAAAATTCTTTTATAAGCAACTAGATTTTCAGAGATAATGCATATAGTACCTCAAGAGATGGCATGTTCCCAGGGTAGTCTCCAAGTTTGCCATGCAACTGCCAACTTTCTCTGCGACAAAAACCATAGCAATTGAAAAGAATATTTTCCATCAGTGGAAGCCATGCATGCAGAAGAAGAAAAAGCAAACTGAGGAATATGAAACTAAAGCCATCTTTTTACAGTCTTATTTAAAGCTTCTTATCTTTTTCTTTTTTCTTGCTTTCTTCACTTACGATATTCCCTTTTTGCCTATAGTTCATAAAAGTTTGCCACCACACTCCACACATGTGAAAGCCACATTAACTACTAGAATCAAAACCAATCTTCAAATTAAAGAAGTTTCAAAAATAGCCTTAGACCTTTAATTTGTCTTTAAATTGGCACAAAAGCTTTCAACATATGGGGCCATTTTCTTACTACTAGCTAGCTAGTAGAATTTAACTTTGACACTAAGTTTAGAGGTAGGTCCTTTTTCAAACAGCCTTAGTTATCTGAGCCCACGAAATCTTAAAAAAAGAGAGATGCTCATTCCTAGAATGATTTGCCATTTGGTATATAATCCTATTCTAAGGCCCCGTTTGGCCATACATTTTGGCAACGTTTTTTTCAAATCTTTTTTGAAAACATTGTTTGTTCATAGATTAATGATTTATTTTTGAAAAATTTCTGAATTATTTTTCAAGTTCCCAAAATCTAGTTTAGGGTAGATTTTGGGTGAAACTTGTTCTCCCACTCACAAAACTTCAAATTTTTTTCAAATAAAATGCATGTCCAAACATAATTTCAACTTCCAAAAATTATTTTTCAAAACTACTTCAAAAATTATTTTTTCAAGTTTCAACTAAATCTATGTCCAAACAATAGCAAAAATTTTCAAAAATCTTTGATTTTTTTCCCCATTTTCTTCTTTACCGCACGTAGTTTCATCCAAAAGAGGTTCTCTTTTTCTGATCTTTTATACATATGCAACTTTTTGAGATGCTCTGGCTTAGGCTTAGAAGGAGAATCTCATCTCTGAGTCCTGGCTATGATATTAATTCTACTAAAGATTTAAACCTTTTTTATGAATTGAAGACAAAGTTTTCAATTGCGTGGTCCGTAAATTTTATCTTGTTTCAGACCTCACATTATAACTTCTTCTTCCTCTTAATATTGTTCCCCAGCCTAGTAGTAATAATAAACAAGTTTTATGGCCTAGTGGACACTACTTTTGTCTGATTTGTTACCTTTAGGAGGAGTACAAAGAGTTTTCACGTGATACGTGGGGTTCTAAATTTTCTCTTCATTCTTTTCCTTTTTAAATTTTCCCCATCAGCATTACGGCCAAAGTCCAAGAATTTTCTATAACATGTTAAGTTACACCGATAATATGAAGATTATTTACACCGTCAATAATTTTATCATAAATGAAAAAAGAGAATAAAATCTGTATGAGTAGCATATAAAATGTGCACCTTGAAGAGTTGCTCCAAAGACCATGGTAATCTTTATCTTGGAGATGCATATTGTTATTTCTGCCTTGTTGCTCAGATAAATCAGACTTCCTTGAATTTTCAATTTCAGGCATTAAATCCTCTGAAGTATCCCCAGAAGACCCATTATCGAATACCTCTGATTGGCCTAACACATTCCGAGAAAAAAATGTGACTACAATTTCAATATGCTTCAAGAAATATAAAATGAAAAAAATTACTACTACTTAGGTTATTTTCTAGAAAAGACCCTGGAACAAAAAAAATTAATTAATCGTATTATAATGAATATATATAAACCTGAAGAAGCTGGAACTGCTACTCTATCGGTAGTCTTAACCGTCCGATACATCTGCAAAGATATAACAAAATGATGCAATGTAGCATTAAAATGTAAACCATGACCATTATACAATAGTAGTTGATATACAATAGATTTTGTTTTGAAAAAAAATCTTATTCTTTTTGCAACTCAAAATAGAACGATATGGTCATATTAGCGATATTGTGATACCAATAAGTACTCCCTCCATTTCATATTATATGAGATTGTTTGACTCGGCACAGAGTTTAAGTAAAAAGAAGAAGACTTTTGAAACTTGTGATCTTAAAAGTTTAAGGGGTAAAAAGTTTGTGGGGTCATGACATTTGTGTAGCTATAAAAGCTCTCATTAAGGGTAAATAAGTAAAATGAAAGAGTTTAAAGTTGAATTATTTCCAAATTTAGAAATGTATTATTTGTTTTGGAACAGACTAAAATGAAAAGTATGTCATTTATTATGAAACGGAGGGAGTATAACGTATGTATAGACTCAAGCTCTGTTGCACAAAAATACATATATAGTATTGTACATTATACTATTGTGTACATACATAGAAAATGAAGCGAAGTGCAAAGAGTGAGATAATGGAATAGACCTTTCCTAGTACTGTATACACGTAGCTTGATAGATACAATTCTTAGAGAAGTTGTACCTACAGCTAAATGATGACAACCTTTTTGCTTGTGCCCCATGTATTGAGCATACATGCATGTAATATGCATGTGCATGCACCACATTTTGATACATAAACACGTGCATGTACAACCACTAATTTGTACACACTTTATATTTCTTGTTGGACCGGCTAATCTAGATTCACGCTAGATGGAGTCACTAAATTGGATAAAATGCTCTCCATTGAATAAAATATATTTTCAAGGCTAACAAAAGATACTTTAATTAAAGATGAAAGAGATTTTAAGTATTTCGCGACACTACTTCATGGTTATACATACTTCAAGCACACGCATAAACTGTAAACAAAAAGTGAAATTAAAGGATCACACCTCCCAAGGCGTAAATTATATATATATATATATATAAAGATCCATTGCTAAATCGCCCGTTATAATACAAAAATATATTTACAAACCCCATATATAAACATGGTTATTGAAGAGTGCAATGTGTAAATTCCCTAAAGATGGGATTATCATTGAGACATGATAACGTTTGTACTTCCTTATTAGAAATAGAAAATTAACAGTAATTTATTGGTGGTTCAAAATACTAGTAGCAGGATTAGCAATGAGAGTGTCTAAACTTGTNACCCCCGCCAACCCCCATCCCCACGTCATATCTATGGGGTTTTAATTTGTCTGGTTTTCCCTTAGCTCATGATATTATTATTGATGAATCATTATGAATAAGACTCTCTTTCTCTCCCCTCTGTAATTGAACCCGAGGCTTTTGCTTTCTTTCTTTACTACTCTTCTTCTACTACAACTCGTACTGCTACAACCTACATGGATTAATGGTTCATTGCCCAACGCGAAAAAGCTGCATTATAGCCTTGCAGGACCATCAGATCTACTAGTTTGAAAAAAGAAGTTCTAAGGACTTAGTGAAATAGAAATTTGTAGTATTAAAAAAAGAAGGCATTGGAATTTGAAATGTCTGTAGGTGTTAGACATTTTCTTCTAATATAGGCTTCTTTCTACGAAGTCTAATGAAAGTATAGCCTTTTGCGAATACTCCAAAAGATTTTCACCCCACAGCTTCTTTATCATAAACGCACATTGAAATTTTAAAACCAAACAACCTTAGAGATATATGCTAAAAGTAAGTGGTCTACGAAATTTACCTGTAAATGAGATTTAACATGTGCCAAAGTGAGATCTTTCACATCCATAAGCTCAAGAACCGACTTGGGTGTTGCTCCTAAATTCCCCCCCAAAAAAGGTAAAACAATATTAATTGAGTTCATGTTATCATAGGCAAATTAATCTTATATATAAAGGCAATAGGTTCCGTTGAACCCATTAAACCAACACTCATTCTGACTGCAATTAATTAATACAACAACAATAAATTCAGTGTAATCTCATATATTGGGTTTGGATAAGTAGTGTGCTTTAAAGAGAGGTTTACGATAAACACTCGGCTCACAAGAGACGAAACAAAAAGCAGTAGCAATGAATGTATAAAAGAAGAAGAGAAGTCTTACTTTCGTGGCCACCCAAGAGCTCAACAGCATGAACAAATCTAGCATGAAGACTGCTAGTCCAGCGCATCCGTGGAGCTCTCATAGTACGTTTTGCTGGAAATCTTGACAAAAATCTTGATCGCATTACCCCAGCTTGATGATGATATTGCTGGGACGTCTGAAAAGGGATTCTTGACGATGAGGAATTAGACATTGTTTTGTTATTGTTATTATTAATACAACAACCAGAAGAACGTATAGGTAATGTAGCTGCAGTATTAGTATTGTCAAAAGTTTGCTGACCAAATATTGGGTAGTGTGAAGCAGGAGGAGGAGGAGGGTTTTGATGGTATACAGGAATTCCTCTTATAGGTCTCAAAAAACTAAGTTCTGAGTTAAGCCCTTGGTTTTGCTGCTGAAGCAGATGGTTTTGCTGTAAAGAGTGGATGAAATTGGTGTGAGTGTTTTGGATGTGATGAAAAGGGCCAGATTTAAATTCAGGAGTAGGTTTAGGATTGGATAAAGAAAGCTCAAATAGAGAAGCATTATTATTATTATTATTAGCATGAGATTTTGAGAGTGAAGAGGTATTGGAGTTTCTAGATTCCAAAGCTCTTCTCCAAAACATTAAATCCATTTCATCTTCAGTAGTACTATTATTAGTACTCCTCTTCCAATTAGTTGATGATGGTTTGCTGTTTGGAGGGCTGATTTGTAAAGATAAGTCTGGTTGTGCTGGGAATAGCTCCATATATCCTTGATCAAAAGAAAACTACAAGAACAGCCACAATTAGTTTGTCTCCCTTTTTCACTTCTTCTATTTGTTGGCCCTAGGTCTTTTAGTTTGTTCTTGTGTTTGTAAGTAGGTTAAAGAAAAGGACTATATCTAGAAGGTCCTTGTTTGAGAAAGATTGATGATAAAATATGGAGAAGCTAAATTTTGAGGTTAAAAGGAGATGGAGAGAGAAGAGAAAGAGAAAATTTGAGGTTTTCTTAAGATGGGGTTTGATGATCAAAATAAGAAGGTAAGAGTTGTAAGGAGGATTTGAGATTGAGTGAGAGATAGAGAGAGAGAGAGTGTGGAGGAGAAATGACAAGGTATATGAAGTGAATGGTTGTTTCTTTTGTGTGAAGTATATGTGAGAAAATGACACTTTGAGGGGCTAAAGTTGGGGGTAGCCAGAGGGGAGAGGTGAGGAGATTGTTCCTTTTGTGGACGTGGGGGTAAGATGAGAAAAGAGAGGAAAAGATGAGGAAAAAAGGAAAGTAAATGAAGTTTTGGGGCTTTGCTACCTTTTTACTCCTTTCTTTTTTGTCTTTAGCCCTAGCTTTCTTTTGGGAAAGAAAAGGAAATTTTAGTGTAAGCTTTTAACGTGTATTTGTCCCTTAACAACTACCTTTCTAACCAAACCTATTCACCTTGAATTAAATGTTACGAATTTAAGTTGATGTACTAATAGTAAAAGAATTATTATATGATCAAAATAGTTAAGGAATCATAACATATTAATTATTCTTCTTATAATGCTTATCATAAAAATATTCTAATAAATATCCTATAAGTGATTTAATTTGTCGTACATAAAATTTAAACTCATTAATCAATAGTTGTTGGTAGTACAAAACTCTTAGCCCCCCCCCCCCCCCCCC